AGTGAGTAAGTGTGTCTGACTGTGTGTCTGACTGTCTGTTAGTGTGTGTGTCAGTGTGTGTGTCTGACTGTGTGTTAGTGTGTGTCGAACTGTGTGTGTTTGTTAGTGCGTCTGTTAGTGTGTCTGTCAGTGTGTGTGTCTGTGTGTCTGTTTAGTGTGTGTCTGTTAGTGTCTCTTTTAGTGAGTGTCAGTGTGTCTGACTGTGTGTCAGTGTGTTTGTTAGTGTGTGCCTGTGTGTGTGGGTCTGTTAGTGTGAGTGTGTGTCTGTTAGCGTGTGTCTGGCTGTGTGCGTCTGTTAGTGCATCTGTTAGTGTGTGTCTGTGTGTGGGTCTGTTAGTGTTAGTGTATGTCTGACTGTGTGTGTTTGTTAGTGTGTGTCAGTGTTTGTGAGTGTGTGGGTATGTTAGTGTGAGTGTGTCTGACTGTGTGTGTCTTTTAGTGTGTGTGTCTTTTAGTGTGTGTGTCTTTTAGTGTGTGTGTGTGTCTGTGTGTCTGTTTGTGTGTGTGTCTGTTAGTGTGTGTCTGTTAGTGTGTGTGTGTCTGTTATTGTGTGTGTGTGTCGGTTAGTGTGAGTGTGTGTGTCGGTTAGTGTGTGTGTGTGTCAGTGTGTGTCGGACTGTGTCTGTCAGTGTGTTTGTGTGTGTCTGACTGTGTCTGCTAGTGTGTTTGTGTGTCTGACTGTGTGTTTCTGTTAGCTAGTGTATGCATATCTGTCAGTGAATGTGTGTGTGTGTATTTAGAAGGCGGGGAAGGGTTGGGTCGGGGTGGCGCATGGGGGGGGTGTTCTGAGTTTTGTCTTGCCTAGGGCAGCACAAAACCAAGATACACCACTGGTTAAATAGCATGAAGAATGTGCAAGTTTGAGTAAAAACACCGGTTCTGCTGTACAGAGGGATACTCCACTTAACAGGATATTCTTATGGGAGTATCCCTCTCGTACAGCAGTGCATGGTGGGAAAATTGTCCTGGATGTTTAGTTCCCCATGTAGTCCCCTACTGTACAACCCCTGTAAAGTCATTCAGGAAACCCCTTGCATGGGGAACCACATAAATACTGTGACCTGTGAATAAAACCTCAGTTGACTCCCAGCCTATGTGTCGTCTAGTTCTTGGGAAGGAAGGATTCTTATTACGCTACCGGGATTATTGGATATTGTACCTGTCTACCTGGATTATTATATGCTGTTCCTGTCTACCAGCAGAGATACTGTGGATTATACTACCTTTCGGCTACAATACCAAAGGTATAGCAAGAGTCTCTGTAAATATTAGCTGTCTTACCAGGTGCCAGTTTGCATGCTTCAGTGAGTGACTTCAGCCCAGCCTCCTGTGCAGAGAAGTAAAGGGCGAGTGGTTCAGCTTTAATTACCTCATGTGCAGAGACTACAGCATATCCAGTGTGGAAATTGCCCTTATCAGCATATCTGGAGCCATCTACAAAAAACTGGGGGCACAGAGAGTCTGCCTGTGTCTGTCTTCCCTGTTGTCCATAGGGAGTTAGGGACTGAGGTCAAGTCAATGGTAGGGTACAGTGAGCGTTGCTAGTAAATTGGCAAGGGGTATCAGGTTATTGTCCTCTAGGGACAGCGTCAGTGATACCTCTCCAGACAGACTAAACTGAATATTGGCATTAATAGCAGAAAAAACATCACTGCCTAGCAAATTAACAGGGACATTAGGACTGACAAGCAGTCTAATTACAAGGGAGGTGGAATCATGAAGTTTCAGCTTCATTTTGAGGGTGAGGGGGTTTTCGCTAGGGGTCCCATCTCCCCCACACATGACAATACATCTTCAGATTTTTCATAAGGAAAGATATTTTTCCTGCACCACAGATCGGACTGCTCCAATGACTAGTAGAAAAGGGACTTTTCTGTCACCTGGTAATGTATCATTAACAGTAGGTGAGGGTCCAACTACATCAAGAATAGTTAAAGCATGTAGGGACACTGGGTTGTCAATTTTCTATTGGGGTGGGGGTGGTGGAAACTGAGTGTCATGAGAATTGTTCTGCTGGTTCCTATTTTTAGGAAGACACTTACAGTTGCACTTAATATGTCCCTTTCTCCCACACTTCCAATATTCAACCTGTCTCCTTTCTGTACTTGATCTGGGGGCAGTCAATGCCGTAAGGGGTGTTGTTCTACTCCTATTATTTAAGTTGGCTTTTACTCCCATAGCCACTTGGACTAAATCATTGTAATTCTGGTCTAGCATTCTGGAGTCCTGTTCTTATAGAAGCATAGATACCATTCATGAAACAATTAATTAACAATCTAGTTGATGTTACTTCGGTTTCAGTATAGCCCAATGACTCCCAAGCTATTTGCAGTCTGACAAAGAATTTTTCAACAGACTAATCTTTCCCCTGTATAATTTCTCCTAGCTTGTGGGCCAATTCCCCAATCTTTAATGGCAGTTACATAGGATTTTCATGAGGTTGCTTTAGATCTAAACCATTGGTCTGTTTTTGTTTGAAATAATGCTTTATACAGCATGGAAACGTATAACCTGCTCCAACGCGGAGGAGTAAACAATAGCATTGTGTTACTGTAGATAATGGTACTCCGTGTTGGATTCTCAGATTTGCAACATCCGTTATTCGTTGGCATTCAACAGTTAACAGAACGTCAGTTGTTGTGGATTCTTGAAGTTGGGTGTGATGGTGTGGTTGTGGTCATTGGGGCCTAACCGTGTTGCTTTCCCTCCTATTAATAAGGGAGGCATCTGTTGTGGCATGTATGGTTAGTTGCTAGTGCTATAGGACACGTTGGTGCTGCGTGTGTCGTGAAGGTGCACCTGCGTGTTGTGGGGATATTTATTGGATAATAATAGTAAACAGTGAGAATTGCCCACTAATTCAATTCTCAGATCCCAAAGATCGTTATTGTAAGTGAAAAGTATTTCATATAAATAAAATCACAATTTTATAAAAATAGATTTTTATTTTATAATAACAATTAATTAACAAATAATATTATGTAACATGCGTGACAATAATCAATGAATATCCAGTATAAAATGATATGCAATACAATGGAATGGGTATACACATTTCAATGGCTAAACAGCATTTTCTGTCAAGACTTACACGATTTATGAGGTATCCTTAACACAGAGAGAAAGCGAAGGGCCATAAAACCCTGGTTAACAGTTAGAATAACCCTTTCAATGCTGGCTAGATCTCCTAGGTAATAAAGATCTATTCTTATGTAATTTTAAATAAAATAACATTTAAACCAGTTCATTAGTCATTTCCTGGAACCATCCAATAAGAGAATCTACCATGATTTTTACAAAAGCAGAATTTAATTTGTCTAAAAGATATCTTATCTTAATTTAGAGCAAATCAATACACCTGGATAAAAACAGCGGTATGCTAACACGTGATAATATCACATCAATATATAATTATTCTTAATTCCACCTGCAGAATGGAATGTTTATAACTATATATTCTTTAGTTAACTAAGATTTCTTAATATGGAAATCTGACCGTGATTTATCCAGTCATATATCATGCTATTAGTAAATTTTAATTAATTTTAATTAATTAAATGAAACCAGTATAATTACCAGTTGAGTAGATATTTCCTCAGATTGGTAGGTAGTCTCAGGAACTTGTTTGGATGTCTCTCTGCATGGAGGTGTGTAGGAATTTCTGAGTGTCCTAGAGTGGATATCTGTCATAGGCCTCTCTGCATTGCTTCCGACTGCTCACTTCTTTGCTTTCTTTGCATACCCTTGCATTCCTCGTCTCCCTTTTTTTTTTCTTTCTCCTTTGCATACCCCTCTGTCTTCCCTTTGTCCTAACTTTTAAAGGGCCAGACTCTCTGTACGTCATCAGTTGATAACCCAATAGAAGCACTAGAGGTGTGCTTACCTAGGGATCGCAATTTAGGTATTTAGTCTATAGAGGGTAGTCTTGTCCCACTAAACATACCTATCCAGGAAAGAGTTAACTTTTCTTGGTGGCTATTTTGACGTCATTTTGCTTTATCTTTATCGTGGCCATAACTTACGTTTCCTTTCACTTCAAAGGGTTTTCTCTTAGTTTTGTCCAAACTTAGTGTCCGCAATTCCTGCTATAATTTCTAAAATGGCAGTTCATGAACTACGTTTAACCTTTTCCGTACAATGGTACCTTATACATATAGAAAGTAAAATTTTATTATTTAATCTTCTCTGTCACCAATGTCTGGGTTTAGAATTGATCTATTCCATTAGCATTTTAGACAGTCTGTCCAACCCCCGTTCTCCTTATCACTTGGTTTGTATATACTATGCATTCCTTTAGCTCTGGGAAAGTGGTTAGTTTTACAGATAGGATAGAAATTTTGTTGCTCTTTGTTAACTTGAAAATAACAAAATGGAGTCTGGTCTGTTCAGAGTGACTCAGAATATACACTTTTAATTTCTATCATAGCACAAGATGTCTGCCGATATAAATACCCTGACAGTGTGAGTTCTTGGATCCGACAGCTCATCAGTCCATCCCCTAAGGGGGGGGGCAATTCTAGTAAGGTTGCTTGAGTGTACCACTGCTGTGAAGCTCCTGCCATTTCCCTCCATCGCATTCGTCTCCTGGAAGGCGCCACTGGGCTCGGCCGGGTGGGTGGCCCCCGGACCCGAGAATTGATACATGGGGGGAGGGGGGGGGGACAGGCACAAGGGAGTGGGGTGGAGAAAAGTGAAAGGATGGAAAGCAGAAGTGGGTAAGAGGGGGGGGAAGAGGTCTGTCTTTGTGGTGGTCAATTCAAGCCTCAGCTATGCAGGGTGCCTGCAAAGTCTGCTGATGCCATAAACTCCAACCAGTAGAACAACCGCTGAGTGTATTTCTCCCTCTACTTTACAGTGGTAGCCTTCAGGTCCTCAAACTTCTGGTGTCCTCAACCCATCGTGTGACCCCGGTTGTCATCGGCTGTCTCCAATAGATCGGGATGGTGACTTTTGCAGCGTTCAGGAGTTTCGGGATCACCGAGCGCCTGTAGCCTTGTGTCAAAAATATGGAACGCTTCACAAATTTGCATGTCATTCTTGCGCAGGGACCATGCTAATCTTCTCTCTATCGTTCCAACTTTAGTATATGTACTCCTTCTACTCCCCCTCCCTCCTCTGGGCAACTTCTACTAAATCGTCATCTTCTAACCATCCTTTATTTTCCATAAATTCCTTCCATATCTGTGGGTCAAGGGTGCCCTCTGAGGGCATGCCAACTTTGTTAAAGGACCCCTATAGTGCCCTTAGGGTGCCCCCACCCTCAGGGTCCCCCTCCCGTGGCGCTGAAGGGGGAGGAAGGGGTTAATCCCTTATATTTTTTGCAGCGCCGGGCTCCCTCGGCGCTGGTACTCTCCTCCCTCTTCTGTCATCGGCTGAATGCGCATGCACGGCAAGAGCTGCGCGCGCATTCAGTCAGTCCATAGGAAAGCATTCTCAATGCTTTCCTATGGACGCTGGTGTCTTCTCACTGTGAAAATCAATGAGAAGCGCGGAAGCACCTCTAGCGGATGTCAATGAGACAGCCACTAGAGGCTGGATTAACCCATATGTAAACATAGCAGTTTCTCTGAAATTGCTAGGTTTACAGCAAAAGGGTTAAACCGAGATGGACCAGGCACCCAGACCACTTCCTTAAGCTAAAGTGGTCTGGGTGCCTATAATGGTCCTTTAAGTAATTTCTTTATTGCCTTAGTAGCTCCTTGTCCTTTATGGTGTTTTGACTATAGTCAGAGCTGTAAATTTCTCCTGGGTCCTTTGTGAGTTACCCATCTCTAACACCTGTAAGGGGTAATTACTTCCTTAACCAAGACAAGACTATACAGACAGTGTTTAAACACTTAGGACCACTGCAGTGGAATTTTCACAGTATTTGTCTTCTTTATCAGAGATCTGCCTTGGGGGATTCTGACTATAACTATACAACTATAAAACAAATTACACACAGACAAACTTGAGCCCCACAGATATATTCTACTACCTCAAGATTCCAAGATTTCTTTCACAATTTCTTTCACCTGAACATATCTAACCTCAAAAAACATGTTCTTTAGGAGTAGACCTATTTAAATCCCCACTCACCCAGACATAGGACTCAGAGGTCAATAGAGAGTGAATCTAAATAGATAGGTAGAAAAGTAAACATTTTTCTTACCCACTGCAGCTTTTAAGATTCACTGTCTACAACCCTCGGTTTCCCAGTATTTCGTCCAGATTGGAATGGATTGTTTCCTCTCCGGCTGTTCGGCACCAATATTGATGGGGATAAAAAGTAACCCAGAGATATGTTCAGGGGAAACCAAATAGTTAGTTTAAGAGCACTGGGTAAAGCAAAATAAGGCTTGCATACGTGAATCAAAGATTACTTTCACTTGTATTGCGAGGGTTTACAGATTATATAGTACTTTGTAAAAAAGCTTTGTGACTTCTGCAACAAAAACAGGATGCTTGAAGGCACTTTGTACCATAAATGGATGTGAAGAAATTCCCCTATACCTATGTGATTTACAGTGTGCATTCCCTTTTTATTCGTTATGTACTGCCTATTACATTCGGTAGATGAAACTACTGAATGAGGACCACCCTCTGGCTCATTAAACATCAAAGATTTAAGTGAAATTGCTACCTCTGTCTGTGCGGTCAGCATTCGTTAGTCGAATGCCACGTGGCAGAGAAAACGCGCCATCTTTGTTCATGCGAACAAAGGCAGCGGGACCTGGTCGTCGAGTGCATGGAACTGTTTTGCGGACACTCGACTTCCCGAACACCAGTCCCAAACAGTTGAACGCTGGAACTCTTTACCGAATAGCTAGAAGAACGCCATTCGGTACTTTGGTGCATTCGACAGAGGGGCACGAACGCTGCTAGGAGCCAGAGGGATCCATTCGGTACTTTTCTTCATTTTTATGTTTTTCGAACGTGACCGGCAAACCCCACCAAATTCGTGGAACTGTTGGGCATGCAGCCCAGGGTGAGCCGGTCACACAAGACCTCCATAAAATTTGCGAACCCCTGAACCGATCTGGGTAAAATTTGAATATGTTAGTCACCCAGATCAGGGCTATCAGGGGACACATAATTTATGGGGATACCCCCAGTATAAAGTGGTGTTCTGAAAGTTGGGGAAAAAAGTGATTTTTCAGCCCGGAGATAATTAAGTTACTATTTTATCAGACTAAATTATCTCCTGGGCTAGGGGAGGGAATTGTAGGTGTGTGTTAACATTTTACTGTTTGTGATTGGTTATTGTTTGTCCCTCCCTGAGGGCTGTCCCCTTGCATGGGGACTTGCATAAAAGCTGTGTGCACCCATTAAAGCTCAGTTCATTTTGTACCCTTCTTGACTTCGGCTGCTGTTTGGGGATTCGTGTGTTTCACTATGGGAATTATTTTGTGAAGCTATTGGAATTACTATAGGATTCGTCTACCCTATCTACCGAACGGAGGGCTATAATCACTAAGGCTCTGGCGGTTCGGGAGGAAACTACCGAATGAGGTTGGAATATACTGGGTTTCCTTACAATGGAATTTACAGAACTAAGCATATTTCAACGGATATATATATATATATATATATATATATATATATATAAAAATAACATAAAGTTAGTTAGGACATAAGAAGGGGGGCTGAGTGTAAAGCTGCAATCATCTCCTCAGAAACCACAGAATGTCACAAGTAAAGAAATGATGCTTACTTGTCATACACTGAACTAGGGTAAAGTTCAAAGCATATCATGATCTAAGTTACCGAATATAATAAAAACAGACTGATCATCTGTAGCTTAAAACCTTGGGTCCATCACACCAACTCTCTGCTAGACACGCTTCAGTCCAGTTTCCGCGCTAAGCACTCTGTGGAAATGGAACTGACCAAAGCATTCAATGATCTACTCACTGCAAAATCTCGTGGTCACTACTCTATCCTAATTCTCCTTGACCTTTCTGCAGCTTTTAACACTGTTGATCATCAACAGCTTCTATTCATCCTCCGCAATATCGGTCTACAAGATGTTGCTCTCTCCTGGTGCTCCTCCTATCTCTCCCAGCGCTCATTCAGTGTTTCTTTCTCTGGCTCTGCATCTTTTCCCCAACTCCTCTCTGTGTCCCCCAAGCTTCAGTCCGTGGTCTCCTACTGCTCTCTGTCTATACTGCCTCCCTTGGTAAACACATTAACTGCTTTGGCTTCCAATATCATTTTTATGTGGATTACACGCAAATCTATCTGTCCTCTCCTGATCTCTCCCCACCTCTCTTGACTAGTGTCTCTGACTGCCTCTCTGCTATTCCTAACTGGATTGCTGCCCACTTCCTTAAACTCAACTTGACCAAAACTGAAATTCTGGTCTTTCCAACCTCAAGTGTTGCTACTCCTGTGTCTGTCTCCCACCAAGTCTATGCTGCTACCATCAGCTCCACCATATAGGCTCGCTGCCTAGGTGTTCTCCTTGACTCCGACCTCTTCTTCATGCCTCATGTTCAGTCTATCTCCAAATCCTGCAGCTTCCATCTCAAAAACATTGTACGCATCCAACCCTACCTAAGGTGCTAGTCCATTCCACTGTCCTTTCTCACCATGACTACTGTAATCCGCTTCTCAGTGGTCTTACGTGCTCCCAACTTGCGCCGTTACAGTCCATAATGAATGCGGCAGCGAGGCTCATCTTGCTGTCCGCCCGCACCTCCCACCCCTCACCTTTCTGTCAGTCCCTACATTGGCTTCCTGTAAGATTTAGGCCTCTATATAAAATTCTGGTTCTTGATTTCAAATCTCTACATAATGCTGCTCCCACCTATCTATCCACCCTAATACACAAGTATGTCCCGTCTAGGCCATTACGCTCTGCTGAAGAATTAGTCTATCTTCTGTCTGTACTCACACTTCAGATGCTCACCTTCAAGACTTCGAGGGCGTGGAATGCACTTCCTGTGGAATGCACTTCCCTCCTCTGCTAGATACTCACCCAGTCTCCACTCAATCAAAAAATCATTAAAAACCCTCTTCTTCATAAATGCGTATCAATCAAACTGTTAATAGCTCCCGACTGATTCCTACCTTGAAACTGTCATTAATCTAATACTATCCTTACCTTTTGTGTCACTTTACCACATTCCCTCTAGCATGTAAGCTCATTGAGCAGGGCCCTAAACCCCTCTGTTCCTGTATGTCCAACTTGTCTGGTTACAACTACATGTCTGTTCGTCCACCCACTGTAAAGCGTTGCAGAATTTGTTGGCGCTATATAAATAACATAATAATAATGTGGGGGACTTGGGGTCATGTGGGAACTAGCTTTTATTTTTTATTTATTTATGAAATTTTTTTTTTTTTGTCTTCCCCTGTGTTCTCTCGTCCCCTTCTCCTGCCATCACTGTTGTGTGTAGGTACTGGGATGGGATGGCGAAGGATACTTGGGGTCGGGGGGATAGGAATTTTTCTCTTTCCCAACGCCCCGTCTTTCCCTTCTCCTACCCTCTCTGTCATGTTTATGTACTGAGTTGGAGGGTGTGGGAGACGCAGATGTAACGTTCACTAGGGAACCCTAACTTGCAGACAGGACAGAGAAGAGAAAATTGCAATACCGATCCTTAGAATGGTCGGGTTATGCAAAAAGGGATAGTCAAAACACTAGCCGAGGTCAAGGGAAATAGAGAGACAAAATAACGAGAGACAAAACCAAATATCAGTAACCAGGAAATCCAAATAACAAGTGCAACGCTCAATGGTAAACCAAAGACCACAACAGGGCACTGAGGCAAGGGAGCGGTTAGCTTATATACACACAAGGTGTGTCTGGCTAATCTCTAATTAGTGTTAACCACAACAAGTGGGAGTAGTTTCTTCCCACACTTGTGGTCATTACTGTGTGCCGGGTCACATGACCGGGTGCAGCACATATATAAGGGAGCTGCTCTGGAGCGTGGAGTGTCAGACACACTGCCAGTCTGGAGACAGGGACCAGATGATGCCACTCGCTGTGATGAGGTAAGCAAGGTCGCCGCGAGTGGGGTTGGGGATCTGACATAACACCCCCCCCGATGACCGCGAGGAGGGCGGGAAGCCGAAGGCTTCAAGGGAAAACGAGCATGGAAGGCCCTAACAAGA